TAAGGGGAAGGGTTGCCATGGTAACAGCTTTCAGGCATGCGGAGCTGCAACGGTTTGCTTTCCTTTTTCTTTTTGCTGCTTTTCCCCTCTTCTCGCACTGCATTGGCGTATATATCGCTGAGATGTTTCTGAGAAGCTCTCGTCTGAACTTCGGCCATAATCTCCTCGTTGGTGCTCGATGGACTTCTGCATATTGACTGTAGGTCGCTAAACTCATCGGCGCCTGTAGCCGGGTCGGTTTGATCTCTTTTTAGCTGCTGCCGCTTGTTTCTATGAACGTCGTTTCTTTACTACTTTAAATTTGAAAACAAACCAAAAAATGTTCTCTGTAGGTGCTGGGAGGAGAAGGAGTGGTGGTGAAAGATGAAGGGGTTCAGGACCCAGATGGGTCCGTCTACACCTTGGAGGACCAGAGACGGGTCGGACAGGAGGGCTCCCAGGAATCCATGGCCGGCTTCGGGCAGGTGGGTTTGACTCGTAGAAGACTTCTTTAAACTGGTAAAAGAAGGAACGTTTGCAGAACATTCAGAGCATAAATCAACATGGCTGAGCCTCGATTTTAAGGTAACGAGTGACTGAAAAATGCTTCAGAAGGAAACTTTCAAAATTACTTCATTGTGTAAAATGTATTCTCAGCATTTCTGTCACAAGTCTTGAAATAAGTAGAGGGAGGGAGAAACACGGAGGAGTGGATTTATGCCGCAGCCTGCTGTACCCTGCAGACTACACAAGCAACATCTGCCACACCGTCAGAAGGATTCGGCTCTTTGCCTGTCAGTTCTCTCACAAGGTGCTGCAGTACGAGATCGAGAGCGGAAACGGAACAACCCGCTCAATTTGGGAGGTTAAGACGTGTTCGTCATGCCACTCAACCCGGCGCTGCTCGAAATAATCTAATCTTCTGCATTTTCTCAATTCTGCTCTTTTGTTCACATGACTTTCGTGTCTCAGCACAGACTATGGGAAATAAATTAGCATCGCATGTTAAACAGCTCATCATTTATCCGTAATTTCGATTTAATATTACTGTGAAAACATCTCCTTCAAACATCTGGATTTATTCAAGTTTCTCACCAACACTACATTTTACAGATTACATGTGAACACATCATGATAATGTTATAACTTACCTTCGTCCGGTACTCGTTGTCACTGAACAGAGCCTGAACGCATCACAATGTAACTAAACAGAACCTTAGCGGTGCTGCTAACGTTACTAGCTCTCCTCCTGAGTTCAACACAGATTGGTTGTTTAGAATTTAACATTATCAGAGATCGGCGAACAGAAAGCGTAAATGGCGACGTCCTCATCGCATATTTTACCGAATATCGGCCTGAACGATCGTCTGTAAACCTTTATTTCACACTGTGATGGTTAAACTGTGTAAATAAGCTACGGTTCACATGCTTGCCGAACTGCGATGGGGGACGCGTGGATCTCGATGTTTAGATGTTAATGACATGTGGAAAGGTGACATAACGCGGCCTCCGGCTGCCATCTATCCGTCAAAATCTACAAATGCTGAACTCGTAATTCTTTTCTGATTGCCTTCTTTCAGGAGGAGCATCCGGGTTTGTTCGCAGGTCTCATGTTGCAAATCGCAGCTTGCGTTTTGTAAGTCAGGTGAAACAGTCGGGTCACATGGTAATACCAGGTGGAAATGTTGCATATGCTGCTTTATTACAACATTGGATTCATAGCTTTATATTAGCACGATGAAGTGAGTTTATGGGTTTTTAATGCTGTCAATTAAACCAAAACAGACATTTTTCTTTCTTTATTTTTCTGCTTTCCTCATAACTTTCCAGAAAATACATCATGCATCTCACTATTGTGACATCACACAGACCGTACATGAGATCTTTACGTGCCTGGTTAAACTCCACCAGCCTAACAAAACAGGACTTGGCCTCGGGACTTCCTGCTCCTTTACATTAGACGAGCTCCACCCTGCCGGTACATGTTCTCATGTGATGTCAAACTGCTCTATTGACAGAAATGTAGCTCGACGGGTCGGACCGCTCTGTGAGACCGCTCTGCAATGTATGCACTCCTGCATATATAGCATGTGGTCTGTATGTATTTGCACCTGAGAGGAGACACAGTGCAGAACTAAAGATGTGTTATGGATTGGTTTCTTTCTGCACAGAGACGGTCAGGATCTCCACCTATGGAGCAGGTAAGCGTTCAAGATGAACTGAACCTGAGAACTAACAGACTTTAAATGCACAGGGTTGTACGTGTCTCCTCTCAGCCAGCGTTGAACTGAAGCCACGTGAGGAGCACAGAAAATGGGTGTCGTCAAGAGTTCTTTCCGAGCTGAGAAATGTCTGCTGGGACCTTTTTAATCACGTCGGTGTGTGTGTGTGTGTGTGTGTGTGCGTTTTGATGTTTCAGGACTTCTACGATGAGCAGGGTGTGTTTTCGGAGAGTTTCTGGCCCCAGAGCGAGCCTCCTCAGGCCATGGCTTTCAACCCCAGAGGAAGGGTCAACAAGCCTCTGACTCCGCCTCCGGCCACGCAGTCCATCAACAACCAGGTCGGTGTGCTCAGCGGCTCGTATCAAACGCCGGGATTACGTTTAAGCTGCGCTGCAATTACAAAATGTCAAAACGTCTTTTCAAAGTCGGCACCAGAGTGACGGCTACAGAGCTACTATTCTTGACACCGACACACTTTTGAATTGCTCTGTGTGCTCACTTTAAGGGTAGTTTATTTCTTAAAAACTCTCCTATTTATTTATTTATTTATTGTTTATTTATTTTATTTTATTATTATTATTTATTCATTTTTTGTCTTTGTCAAGGATACGTGTGTTTATGCCAACGTTTTTTAGGAAAACTGTCATAAAGAGAACACCGTGCACCAAGACCCATATGCAGAAATTAGTGAAAAAATAGTTAAAATAATGATGCAATCAGAACCGGTACAGGTAACGTGGGGCTTTATAGCGCTGCTCATATCTCTGCGAATTAAATCAAAAGTGTTTTTGACAATCGATACAATGTCACCTCGCATAATATCGCGATACTCGGGTGTATCGATATTTTCTTACACCCTTATCGCCGACACAGTTTTATCGACTTTGTCACTAATATTATTTGCCACGGTATGTTTGAATGTAGTGTATTGTTTATTCACTGTGCTGTCATTTATTCACTTTTCTCTAATAGCTTTTAGATGTATCTTGTTTTTCTCTTTTTGAAAGTGTTTTTCATCTTTTGCTAAAACACAAAGACGTATATGTCGATGTAAAAGTACAACATAGCCGGCGGCTTGGATGGTAACATGCTCAGGTAGACGTGGATCCACTACGGCTTAACATCGCCGATGGTTGTTTGCCGCTCTATTGATGCTCTGGATATCGTGTAGATTACTGTAGAGGGCCACACAGTGAGAGGACCTAAGCTTCAACTGGTCCTTTCCTTCAGAATATAGTTCTATCATCATTACTGTGGATATAGAATATAAACACAACGCAGTATACTAAACAAAGAGCAAAACAGGACAAAAGATGTCATATCTGTATAGAAAAATACTCAAACGTATATATAAAGATCCATAGTTCATTGTCACTTATATTCTAGTAAAGAGAGATATTTCATTGTTTTTCGTCCTCAGCTTCTCTTCCAGTACCCAGTGAGCCAATCGCAGCCAGCTCCTTTCTATGTGGGCGGGCCCATGGGTGGGATTGACAGCATGGCGGGGACCGAGCCCCCTCAGCAGGCTCCGCCTCCGGCGCCGATGACCCCGGCCCCGCCTCCCTCCGCCTCCTCCACAGGCCCCTCCCCTTCCTCCCAGGGATCCGAGACCTCGTTCGACTGCACGCACTGTGGCAAATCTTTACGTTCCAGGAAGAACTACAGCAAGCACATGTTCATCCACTCCGGTGAGAGCTCTCCTCCTGTTGGTTTAAACACCAATTGGTTGTTTACAATGTGACATGATCAGAGACTAGAAACGCATGAATGCGGATAACGATCGTCAGTAAAACTTATCAGGACATCTCTAATAATACCAATGATTCAGATAGAGTGACTGCTTTGTCTTCGTTCACGCTGTGTGTCTGTCTGTTCACACTTGTCCCTCCAGGTCAGAAACCTCATCAGTGCTCCATCTGCTGGCGCTCCTTCTCCCTGCGCGACTACCTCCTCAAACACATGGTGGTGCACACTGGCGTCAGGGCCTTCCAGTGCTCCATGTGCGGCAAGCGCTTCACCCAGAAAAGCTCGCTCAACGTGCACATGCGCACCCACCGTGCCGAGCGCACCTTCCAGTGCAACGTGTGCCAACGGGCCTTCACCCACCGCACCTTGCTGGAGCGCCACGCCCTGCAGCACGCCCACCACGTCCCGCAGGGCCAAGGCCAGGGGCGTGGATCCGACATGACCTCACCTAACAAGCACAGTCCTCCGGCTCTGGGAGGGCCCTCAGGTATGGCTGGCGCGGCCGGCATGGTCGGCAGCATGGCCAACATGCCCAGCCACGGAGCTTCCTCCACCTAGAGAGGGGGGGGGGAGGGGCGGGCGTACAGGGGGAGGTTAGTGGGCCCATTCCTTGAACCAACACTAATTTGGTCCTAACAGCCTTGTTGATCTTTTGTTCTGGTGGGTCCCCATTGTTTTGGCTTAACGACACCTTCAATCAGGGTTCCTACAGTTTGACAATTATGTAAATTTGAAAGAAGTTTTGAAATTGCACAGAAATCTTAGAAACATTTGTTTAAAAAAAGTTGTTCCCTCCGAAGAAGCCCATCTTAAGTAGGCGTGGTCACTTCCTGCGTTGTGACGTTTGTTGCCCTAACGAACAAATGCACAACTTCTTGAACAGCCATCTAAAATCCAGCCCAAAAGATGTTTTTGTTTATTGTTCTTTGGGTGACTTTTTTAATGGAGAATGTGTAGGAACCCTGTTTCACAGACACCAGAGAGTCACCAAAGAGGTCAGGAACACTGAGCCGGTTTGGGAGTGGGCAGGGGGGGGGGGGGGGGAGTGTGTCTAGGGGGGGGGGGGGGGGGGGGGGATTATGGGGAAATATGGAGATGCAAGTTAGGGAAAATAAGGGGAAAGAAAGGGTGAGTGTGGGGGAGGAGGGGGGTGCAGGGTCTTCTTCACTCTCAATTCATTTAATTCAAGGAAACATTTGGAGTTTGTTCAGTTCTGCTGAGCGTCTCATCTAAAGGTGCATGACATCAAATGTGTGGAAGTAGAGTTTGTTTACAACCCCGTGCTAATGTTGACGCTAACGTTAGCTTGTCTCGCGCAAAGTTTACGACTTTTCATGTCCTCAAATTGCGGTTCTTTTTCCACACTACACAACTTCCTGTTTTGCAAGCCGGAGTCTTGAAGTCGTGGTTTTTCACACTACATGACTGACCGGGTCACACACTACCAACGTCCTTTTATCTAGAAGCAAACGTCGAGCTCTTGCTGTTGGATGAGGAGGAGGGAAAGAAATTATATAGTTCATCGTAGTTAAAAAAACCCACTAATATCAACCTTTCGCCTGCATTTGCCTTCGTCCGTTCCTACCACATCAAAACAGGAAGCAAGTATTAAAGTAGTAGAACCAGCCTTGTGCTTGATCTTGATTGGCTGCCTGGTCCAAATGTGACACTGACAAGCGGTACGACCAGGCGGCAACCATCGGTTCTGAACAGGTGAAGCCGATGCTTCATGTGTTATAGCTGCATTCTCTCTAGTGTCCACCAGGGGGCGACTCCTCTGGTTGTATCGAAGTCTATGAGAAAATGACTCTACTTCTCTCTTGATTTATTACCTCAGTAAACATTGTAAACATGAGTTTATGGTCTCAATCTCTAGTTTCAAGTCTTCTTCAATACAGCATGATGTTCATTTAGTACATTATGGTCCATTTAGAGTCAAACAGACCATAAAGAAGGGGATGCTTTAGGGCGGGGCTACACGGTGATTGACATGTCTCTACGTCAGTCCTCCACAGTCCAAATATGGTCACTTCCTGTTCACTGGTTGCAAAAAGCCAAGATGGCGACGACCAAAACGCCGAACTTGAGGTTTCAAAACGTCAGTGGGTGACGTCACGACGACTACGTAAAGAATAGAATAAATAGCACTTATAGAGCACTTAAACATGGACCTTTTTTAAAACAATTTTTAGCAGTTTTTATTTGAAGGTGTCTCTGACTGAACACAACTTAAAACTCACGACGAAAGATTTGCATTTACTAGAGTTGAAAATGTTTTAACTTAAGCAACAAATCCCCAAAGCAGAAAATAAGAGAAAGAAATAATGATTTGAGTTTGTCTCACTGTCACATTCGTCGTCCATTTGTAGCTAAAAACAAATTATTATAGTAAATAATGCTTCCCCAGTCAGTTCAAACGCACCTTAAGAGCCTCGTTGCTGGAAAAGTTTCTTTCCCGTGTTTGTTTTTTTAATATTAAACAGAATTCCTGAATTAACTGAATTGAATGTGAATGGAGCCCCGACGCTTTCAATGAGCAAACCAGGGTGACAAAGAAGGTTGTTGATGAACGATTGGATGAAGAAGGAGAGTAGTCTGAGCAGAGTGAGACTACAGCAGGGGGGAGGAGGAGGAGGAGGAGGAGGAGGAGGAGGAGGAGGAGGAGGAGG